AAAACTCCAAGAAAGGAAATGTTCCTTTCAGGCATGGAGTCACTCTCTCCAAGAAGATGTCTCCCATGACTTCTGAGGAGATTAATGGCATGAAAGACGTTCCCTATGCCTCTGTCGTAGGGAGCATCATGTATGCCATGCTGTGCACTCGTCCTGACATTGCTCAAGCAGTGAGTGTGGTAAGCAGATTCCAGGCCAACCTAGGGCAGGAGCATTGGACAGCTGTGAAAAACATACTTAAGTACCTTCGAAAGACAGAAGAGTTTTGTCTAGTATTTGACGGTTGCTCACTACAGATCCAAGGGTATACAGATGTCGATTTTCAGTCGGATCCAGATGATAGAAAGTCTACATCTGGATATGTTTTCACGATAGGATCATGTGTTGTTTGCTGAAAAAGCAACAAACAGGGGTCCACTGCAGACTCCACGACCGAGGYCGAGTACATTGCCGCAAGTGAGGCTGCCAAAGAAGCCATGTGGATGAAGAAGTTTGTTCACGAGTTGGGAGTAGTTCCGTTCAGCAAATCACCCATCCCGTTGTTGTGTGACAACAATGGAGCCATTGCTCAGGCTAAGGAGCCACGAGCCCACTCGAAATCGAAGCACATCGAGATGAAGTACTACATACTACGGGAGATTGTTGGTAGATGGGACGTCATAATTCAGAAGGTAGCGTCAGTGGAAAATGTAGCAGACCCATTGACAAAGCCACTATCACAGAAAGTGTTTGAGAAACACGTGGAAAGCATAGGACTCCGGCTTGTACCTGATTAGACCTAAGTGCAAGTGGGAGCTGTTAGACAATTTTGTATGCCCTTAGCTTCAATCAGAATGATGTACATTATGAGTTTATTGTAAATGAATAAAAGTACATATTTGATTCATGTTCCCTTGGTATGTTTCTGTRTAATACCCTTAAACTGGACACTTAATGAGACTCGCGTTAATTTAGAATGTTCACAGCCACTAGGTCGGCCTGGGGAGACTTATCCTGATAAGGCTGACACTGTTGTGCCACCAAATCGGTTGGGGTGGCCTGTCTCAGCTGCCAGGGTGAGACCCTAGGCACATACAGTGTAGGATTAATTGAATCTTTGAATTGGACCAGATTTCAAGTATTGCCCTAGACCTTGGAGATTAATGGGCAAAACTGGAAAGTTACACCCGACCCTTACACTCGATTATGATACTGCACTACGTGTCGGATTGGGCTGTCTTTGATGTACCATTCAGTGAGATCCTTAGCGGGGGTCAAAACCTGTGTATGTTGGGACAGTCTGAGAATTCATCTGAGTGGGTGATCATAGTGATAGGATCAGCCCCTTTGTCGGACAAAGGTAATGACCGAGGATGCACTCTCACTGATGGAAACCAAGACTGTCGACAGCTGATTTCAATCGTTGAGATTTGTTTTACAAAGTATATTTTATATGAGATATAAAAGTATATATATTATGGTTTTTAAAATGTTTGCAAAAGGTTTTAATTCCTAGGATCCATATAAGCAGAGAGTGCAACACTGTTCCTTGCAGCCGAGGGAGATGTCCTCTCTTGTCGGGCAGTGTTTGATCGTTAAGGGCTGAAAGGTTAAGTGTAAGTCCATTGAGGGTAATACCTGATGGGCTAATCTTGCATGTGCACACAGTCCCTGTGTGTTACAAGGTGGCTTAGCCCAGGGACCACTTAGGGTAAGTGTTGGGCCCATAGAATCCATTTGATCGGTTTCAGAGGGTGCACTGTCCATTGCAGTGTATTCGGTCAGGCCTTGTAACAAAGGCTGGGCCAAACTCATGTGGCTGATGTGTAGATCAATGCTTGGGTCCCACGCCATACAAGGAAGCCCAACTGGGCAGCAGTTTGGAAGGCTAAGTGAGCACACAACCTTAATGGGCCTAAAGCCCATTTCGAACTGGGCTGATTTAATCAGTTTAAATGAGGGGCGAATCTACGATTAAATCAGTTGATAGGATTGGGCCTTGACCCTATCCACTCAGAGAGTCCAAGATCTAAATAAGATTTAGATCTAGGAGCCTCCTAATAGGATTAGGAGAGGGTTGATCTAATCTACAGATAAGATAAAGGTTCTCCCTTATCACTTAAAGGGACTTCTAATCCAAATATGATTTGGATCAACAGCTCTTAATGGGATTAGGAGCTGATCCCTTTAAGCCTATAAAAGGAGGATGGGGCGGTAGCCTTTAGACACAACACAGACAACACAAAAGAGAAAAAGGTCTCTAGTCTTTAGAGCTGAAATCACAGAAGAAAGATTTCTGCAATCTCTGCAAAACTCTTTCTTGCCGCCGCCAGACCTCCGGTTCGATCTCCAGTTTTGTGGGAGAGATCAAGATTCGATCTTGATATCAACCCTTTGTGAAAGGACTGATTGGAAGCAGTGCTCACGGACCATCCAGCTATTCTTACGAAGGATCAGGTTCTTGGAGAACGTTGTTGATTCTGCTCCATCCTGCACTGCGTCATTTTCAGTAGAAGCAGTCTTTGGATCCTTCCTTGGGCGTAAACACTTCCATTGAGATATAATATTTCTCTGTATCAGGTATACCTCTCTCCTACTTCTTTTGGTTCAGATCTRGTTCAGTTCATGGTTCAAGATTGGTCCTTGAAAATATGATTTTCTAAATAGGGAATGCGATTCCCAGTTGAAGGGAGAGAAAAGTTTTTGGAATTTGCCCACCTTATTCCGCAAGATTTGGGTGTCCATACGATGGATCTCTCATCCCTTCAATGGAATGGGGTTTTCATGGGTTCTACCATCTGGTTATATTGGATGTAGTGCCAAGATTCCACTTGAGGATGAAACCAAGTAGCACTTGGTGCTTCTTACTATTCATGGTGATCCAAGGTCAGATCACCATCTGCGAGGATACAATTGCATGGGAACCAAACAAGCTATTAATGAGCATAGACATGTAGGTGATTTCATCTTTGGCCAGTGAAGGGGTACCCCCTGCTACTCTCTTTACCAACTCTTATATTTGGAGTGGCACACATCCTGAGGATCTCTTCCTTTTCATCTTTGATCATGAGGATACAATAATTGTTGAAGGTGTTGGTGGTGGTGTGTGTCATGTAACTGAAGTTCAACATGGCAACGATGTTATATTCTGTTACACTGCAGAATTTAGAGAAGGCAAGTTTTGTAAGTCAGAGAAGATAAAACTCCATAGCAAGGTACAGGAAACTATTGGAGTTGGAGTTATGTTAGGTGAGGGGAAAGGTCGTTCCTCAATGCATGAGACTCCCATCGACCATTGTATGGGAGCCCCAACTCTTGGCCAGCGGCGCACAACCGTGCATGTTGTTGCAAGAATTGATACAAGGGCTCCTCGAGAAAACGTACGCCTACTTGATTATGGTGTTACCACAGGTAGCGGGGCAGTTTGGAACACAACAGAGATAGGAGGCTCAATCGTTGTTGTCTTGGGTCTGGGGACTGTTAGTCTTGAGGTTGCAAAGGCTATTGGTGCTGCACTAGTAATAAGCATTGATATTGCCAACAAAAGAATTGATAGATCAAAGAACTCTGGAGATAATGGAATTTCGGCACCTTAGTATTCAACAAAACCCAACACAGCCAGATCATTTTGTATCTCATCACCGAGGCTAGTGTTGACTACAGTTCTAAGTGGCTAGGTAGAGCTACTAGTATGAGGTCCGCACTGGATTTCCAAATGGTCCACATCCGCAGCCAAGACAATAGACCCAGACATGTGGTCCTGACACCAAGAGAAGGCAGGACAGTAGCGGGTGTCATCTGGATGAGCTGGCAAGCCAGTTATAGCCAGCTTTCTAAAATCAGCCTTGAGGACAAGGCTGTAGCTAAGGGGAAGGGAATTAACAGGAGCCCTGGGGTTACAAATCACTTACAAATCTGCTGACGTGGCCATCATCCTAATCGTCATAAAGAATGAATATCAAAGGCTGCAAACTGTTATAACAGTCATTACAGTATTCATAGTTGCACATTATCATGACCCATGATTGTAATCATTAGTAACGGCTTCCCATATATAATCAATCAATACTGAAATAAAGGCATTGCACGATTAAACTCATCTTCTTCTTCTTCGGTGATCTTTGTAATTGCTAAAACCCTCTTTGAGCGGTGCTTCAGCACTACAGCTCGAGGGCAGATACAAACTTGTTCCGGCAACGGGAAGGATTTGTATCAGTCACCACCACTGCCAATAACCTTTGTATTTTTTTTTTTTTTTTTATCAAATGCTAATAAGCTATTTAGATCAACGTGTTGTAACTTCTACCACCTTCCTGTCTGTGGTGCCGTTGCTGCATCCTGAAAGTGTAAGTTTTTTTTACTTTTACGGTCTGAAACACCATGAAGAGAGATTGATCTGCTCCCATGGTTAATCGGATTTTGGATCGAATCAGAATGTTGGTTTTAAAATGAGATCGAAGTCAGATTTAGATACATCAGATCCGAATCGGATCCCCGATTATAGGCAAGTGGAGGATAAAAAACCGGAATTATAATGTGCTTTCATTGAGATTCGAACTCAAGACCTCCCGCTTACTAAACGGGTGCTCTAACCAACTGAGCTATGAAAGCAGATGCAAGTTATTTTCGAGTAAAACTTAATGTAATTGGAAGAACTGGTGCACGAATTTTGATATCTAGAAATCTAAAGCTTTGCCAAATTGGTATCGTGCAATGTCTAGGAGTGAATATTGAGTAGCGGTGGCAATTGGTTGGGTTTGGTTTCGATTGAGCTTCAATCCAACCCATTACGTTCAATTTGGAAGGAGTACAAATACAAATATGTAGAGTACAAAACCTTATATTTTGTATTATTTTCTATGGATTTGTACTCCTTCCAAACTAAGCCTTAATAACCTAGTTATATAAAGTTAAATGGGTTGGGTTCAACCCAAACCTGCTTTAACCCAATCTAACGCGCCCAAACCTATTAAACTTATATTTATAATTTATGTACTTAAAACAAAAAAATTTACTCTCATTTAACAAATAAATTGTTCAGTGGTAATAATGTAGTTGTTATTTATACAAGTAGTAAAGGTTCAAATCACATTACTTGTATGTTATTTTTACACAAGCAGCAAAGCCATTTGATTATGTTCAAGTTTTGTGTTTGACCGAACCACTTAGGTTCAAACCGGTCAAACCAACTTGAACTATCTAATTAGATTGTCTTCGAGCTAATCACATCAAAAGTGGTTGAACCGTTTGGATATAGATTAATCCGATTGGACTAGACCAGACTGGTTCAGTAAACGGTGGATTGACTTGGACCAACCCATATCAAGTTTGGGACCGAACCAACTGACCCGAATCAAAGTCAATGTAAGTAAAGCATACTGGTCTGGATTCGAGTTGGGTTGTACAAACCGACTATCCAGTCCTAGTCAAGACAAGCGAGATGGATTTTGGGTCGAACCGGACCAAAGTCCGGGTTGAACTATCCCTATCCCGTTTCAGATTCGGGTCAATCCAGATCGGCCTGCTCTAGGTCAGGTTGGTTCGGGCTGGGCTGATTGACCCAAATGAGTCGAACCGAGGCGATCGGGTTTGTTCATATTTAAACCAAGTTGAGCTGGTCCAAACTCGGGCCAAGCTGATTTGGATTTATGTTGATTTGGGTGAAGTGTGTTGATTCAAGACCAAACTAATGTTAGTAAATAATTAATATAAAATCAATGCATTAATTATAAATTATTTCATCCAAATGAAGAAAATTAAAAAAAAAAAGGCTAAGGAATTAATACTTATTATATCTTTAGTGGTTAACCCAATGGTTATCCACAACCCAACCCGACCCAACCCATTTAAATTGACCCAATGGATAATCAACCCATTTCCAGCCCGCCAAGTAAATGGACGAGTTGAGTGGATTAAATATTGGGTGGGTTGGTTGGGTTCAACGGGTTGGGTGAAAAATTGCCACCCCTAGGGGTGAGAAAAAACAACCGAAAAATCGATTAACCAAACCGACTAGTATACATATATTTCTATATTATATATATATATATATATATATATATATATATATATGTATATTATATCATATATATATATTGCATTTTTATATATTATAAATTAATAAATATACAATATATATAAATATATATTTATAATTTTTTATTATATATTTATATATATTATAAAAATTAAAAAATTGATGAACCAAACCAACGATTAACTGAAATAATCAACCAATTGACTTTGATTAGGTTTCGATTACCAATTTTTCAAAAATCGATTACAAAAAAGCCCAGGTTCGGTTAACCGAATTATAAGCACCCGTAGCAGGCTAGCAATGTCTGTGTCATGGATGGAGACCTTGTAGCCATTATTTATTAGAAGTGCACACATTTAAAAAAAAAAAAAAAAAAAATTAGAAGCGCACGAGTCATGAATATTGATAATGCTTAAACTTTAGGAGTTTGCATTGTGTGCACCCATGGGTGCACTGGATGAATGCACCCTTCAATGAGAGACGACCACGTTGGCATATTTAAAAGTTATTAACGTTAACGGACCTTTAAAAGTTAACCGAAAAAATCCGGTCGAACTAGGCATAAAAGGATGAAAAATACTTAAAAATTTATAAACATTTTAATTACATGGGATTTTTCGATCTTCTTCCCATTGTCGACTCTCCCCCGCTACTCTGGTGTTCCTCAATGCCAGTATCACTTCTTTATACTACTATTTTTTTGTTGTTTGTGAATGCTTCTGAAGCCGGTGGTACCTAAACCCCTTTTTCTACGAAACGAACAACCACATCCCCGAATCGTCGGTACCTTGATATAAGAAAATCTATCCAAGTTCCAAAAAGAGAACAGTTAACTCTCTACGCCTAGTTTGTTTCACCAAATCAAGAGGGCATTTTTCTGCAAGTTCTAGACTTTGTAAGCAGCTATAAATTTAAGAGTAAAAAAAAATCAAAGTTTTATTTTATTTTTTACTTGCAACAAATTTGTATCACAAAGTAATAGAGCTTGATTTGAGGTGGTGCTGAAGTTCTTCCTTAAGGTTAAGGTAAAATGTTGCATTAGTTTCATAAAAAACCTATACAGGCATAAATCATGTATAGTGAACAACCATGCATTATGAATATAAAAATCATTTTGGAATTTTTGCAGTGAGATGAACTCAGAACTCAAATATTACAATTTCATTTCTATAGTCCAAATTCCAAGATTTCAACTGTCAAAGCAGTGCAGTAAGTCTCATAGAACTGCATTAAACGGACAAGGAATTCAGTTCTTCTTCATTAGACAAAGGGCACCAGAGCAATAGAGAACTGGATCCAGTTCTGTTTTTGGGGTTTTGATAGGTTGCCTTTGATCAAGGTAGCACCAACTTGGGGATGTGGATGTTTGTTTCAAAGAGGAAGGAGTTTAAGGGTAACGTCGAGTTCAAAAGTATTAAAAAGAAAAAAAAAAGTTTGCAAGGAAGGAGGAGGAGAAGAAGAAAAAGAATTTCTCAGAAGAAGATTTGAAGAAGAATAGAAAGAAGACAAGCATGCCTATTGCCAGTTGATTTCTTGTCGTCAATGGATTCCCCGTTCACGGACGTCGGTTATGCAGTGAAATTGCTAATGGATTGCTCTGAGGAGAAAATGGGAGGGAGTAAGAATGAATTCTCACATTCCAATCCTAAATAATTAAAAGAATCAATGATTTTAAGTTTCTTTTGTCTTTTTCTATCCGGTTCAACTAGATTCATTTAACTAACGTTCAAACACCTATTAATGTTAGCTTGATTTCGCCTAGACGACATGGTCATCTCTCATTGGACGGTGCATTCGCCCAGTGCACCCATGGGTGCGTAGAACGCAGATTTGAACTTTAGGTTTGCAAATGAATGAGATCGAATTGGACCTTTTTGATTAGTAATTCATCAGCTTGCTAAAAATGGTCTAGTAGAATCTGATTTTTTTTTTTTTTTTCTTTTATAGTTTGTTTGTCAACCCAATATTTCAAAGAGACTTTCCTTATTGTATTTTTCTTTCTTTTCTCTAGACGTACCTAAATACAAATTTTATTGGCTAATATTCATAGTATTCTTCGAATTATCTTATTTATATCAAATGCTGATTGATTTTTCATATCCAATTCTATTAAAGTTGATGTAGATATTATATAGGGTAAGTGATAGACTACCACCCTCTACTTTGGGCTAGTTACACTTAACCCCCAAAACTTTCAAATCCAACAAAGGTGCACCTTGAATTTTAAGATTCCAATACTTCACCCCTGTCATTAGCATCCTGTCAATTAACTTCAGAAAAGATTCCCATGTGACTATCATGTGCATGTTGAAACATTTCTAAAATCCTAAACTGCCCTTACATTATTCTATGAGACCATTTGTAGAAAATTGTTAAAATACAACAAAAAAGAACATAAAATAATGAAAAAGTAGGAAATTGCAAAAAGTGCAACAAAAAGAAGAAAATATGAAACACAAAAAATAAAAAAAAATGTAGAAAATATAATAAAGGAAAAGAAGAAAATACAATAGAAAGAAAATTGTAGAAAGCATTAGAAATTAATTGCAAAACTGACAAAACATAACAAGAAGAATTAGGAAATAGATAAAAAGTATAGAATATTGCAAATAAAGAGAGGAAAGTATATAAGGACAGAAAACTACAAAATAACAGAGAAGCTTGGATAGGCATTTTCATAATTTTATCTTTACTGTCTAGCCCATTAACAAGGTAGAGTGTAAAGTGCTAGAAACTAAAAGTTTAGGGTGCTTGTCACAAATGATAGTTCAAGGGGCCAAATGTCATTACCCTTAAAGTACAAGGTGGTGGGAATTTGTAATTTATCTTATTATATATTATTAATAAGATAAGTCAAAAATGAATTTAATATTACATATCATGGATAAAAACAAATTTAAAAATAACTTAGATCAACATTATTGCCTAAGTGGCTACTGTTAGATAATGTGTATGCCCTTAACTCTAATTGATGTATTATACATACTTTTGTTATGAATAAAAGAATATTTATTTCATGTGTCAAAGGGTTGTTTTGCTAAATACCGTTAGTCCATTTAAGTATTATGTATGTCATAACATGATTGTTATATGGACTTAAAACTTTACAACCAATGGATATACTTGGGAAATCTATCCTAACAAGGTTGTCATTCTCGCATTTCCTAAGGTAGTGGAGTAGTGTGTCTTAGTTGCTCAAGTTGTGACCTGCGGTGTGAAGATGAGTGTTTACAAGAAACATTGAATTAAACCAAACCCAACATATTCCTAGACTTTTTGACAGGTGGAACAATTGGTGTTGCTTTTAATCCCTATCAGACTTGTTTATCTGTAATATACCAACCAAAGAGACCCTTGTAGGGTCAAATATCTGGATATGTTGGAACATTTAAGGATTGTATATTGACTAATGATCAATGTGATAGGATACGTTACTATGTTAGGACATAGAGAACACTTTGTACAACTTCCTACTTGAAGTCTTGGATATGACGGTAGTAGGATTATTTGAATTCTCAATTAAGGATCCAATGGTATTGAGAGTTGGGCACCATGTTATAAAGACAAGGAGGAAAAAAAGTTTTTGTTAGTAGATTTTGTGATATTAATGTGTTTCACATTTAACATTTGATATATTGTCCAAAGAAATGTTAGTGGCGCCTTAGACAAGTTTTAATTTCTTAGTACTATAGAGCCTGCATTGTTGAAAGATGCAGTAGATCTTGATATCTATGTATCGACAAATAAAGACAATGGGATTATCACTATTACATAAGTTTGACGACAAGCAAGATCTCAGTTTGATCTATCACATATTACAGAAATATTATATGATTATATCCTTTGCCTTGTTTAGTGACATAGGTATTGAGATAACATGGCAAGAGCTTTGGTTGTGAAGGATTTACACCTATCCATAGTTTGAGTCATTCCCCATATACACCTAGCAAGAAAAAGGATTTACTAGAGAGGTATCTTGTCTACTTGATCTTGTTTTTATGTATAATATTATTCTTAGTGGCCTAGTTAAGTCAGATTGGGTTCTTTCAAATTTCACTACAAGAAAACTGATTTTTAGCGACGGTTTTTCTGGCAACGGACAAAAACACGTTGCTAAAAACCGCATATAGCAACTGAATTTTTAATCCGTGGCCATTTACTTTTTTTATTGCATGCAACAGCCACGGTTCCATGAGCCGTCGCTCGCATGTGGCTTAGGCATCATTTATCCAAACGGTTTTAAAACTAACCGTTGCAATATATCTCAATTTTCTTTTGGGATTAGGAAATCGTGGCTAGTTCAAATGTGCGCTTCCTTAGTTTTGGCAGCTTTCGAGAAAAGAAGGAAAAATAAATGCCCAGGCAAATTGCATTCCTGCTTTTCGCTCCCACACTTCTTCTTGTTGCTCTCCTCCCTCATCGCATTCTATATCTATCCCTTTCGTCTGTCATTCTTTTTTCTCCCTCTCATTCTCTCATTTGGTCTCTTGTTCACCCGGTGTAAAGAGGTTATTTTCTTACGCACCCTTTCAATCTCCTGCTCTCTCAATGTCATTTTCTTACGCACCCAGGATTAGGAAACCGTTGTCTCTCAGTTCGTTTATTTCATTGTATAGAAGAAAAATGTAAGTTCATCTACTATATTTTTTTTTTCTTTTTTTCTTCGAAGAGAATTGCTTGCCATGGTGCTATGTTTGTGGTTCATGGACTGCAAATGGGGACCATGGTTGTTCGATTGCTTTCTCCTACCCCATATAGAACTTGCAATATTGAAAATAATCCAAAATATTTGTTTATTCTTTCATCCATCATATAGAAGGGGAAATAGGGGAGAAAATCTATACGAACTGTGGTCTTTCATCGATACTAACATTCTCTTCATGGTTTCTTGGTAAGAATTCTGCTAAAATTTTGATTTAAATCATTTTGAACCAAAAGTTAGGGTTTAACTTCTTATATTTTATGGTTTTGTTGGTTTCGGTAACATTTGTGTGATAGGTTATTCTTGAGGTTTTTATTTTATTTCTTTCAAATGTCAAGAAAATGGATCTTCAGAGAGTGGTTGATAAAGACTGGAAAACAGGGACCGCTTCTTTAAGTGGAGAGCAACATGTTAGAAAAATGTCCATGGAACTTGAGAAGAGGGAGAGAATAATTTGTGGCCCCTCTATTTGCACAATATCATTTTCAATATTTTGGGAATTTGAAATTGGAATTAGTGGTAAGATTTCTTATTGTAACATGGTTGGCAGTGCCCAAAAAAACCATATGATGTATACTAATATATGGGAGAATTTGAAATTTCTGCCTAGCTATTTCAAATGGCTTTTAATCTATGTTAATTTTGTTGCTAGCTAGTTATTTGATCTTTACTACATGTTTTTGAGTACCAGGAGAACAGTTTGTTCTAGATCCTTTCCTTGCTTTTTTTCTTGAAATATTTGGGGGTCTTTGAAATACCATTCATTCACATGCTTATGGTCCACTTGCATAATCGCATTCAAAATTTAGAGGTTTGTAACTTGGAATTAGTGATGAGAGCTCTTGTTGTAGCATGGTTAACATACAAATAAACAACACGAATTACCAATTTATGTGAGAATTTGGAATTTCTGCTTGCTATTTCAAAAGACTTTATCTATGTTAGTTTTATTAGCAGCTCATTACTTGCTTTTTAAAGCATGCCAAATATATGGTGTTGCAGTAAGGATGGGAGAGTTGTGCAACAGCTAAACTTGATCTTCAAAGCTAAAGACATAGATACCTAACTTTAGTTGTGATTCTTTCTTTTCTTGCTGTTCATATATTGTATCATGATGAGAATCTCATGATGTGGTTTAGTTGTGATTCTTGCTTTTAAATAGATACCTAACTTTATCTCAAATAGTAAGCAAGAGTCAGTTATAAAAGATAAGAAAGTAATAGTTGATAGCTTGGAGATAATTATGAAACAAAAGGAATTTTTAAGCACTAGATATAATGAAGTTACAAATACCTAACATGGTAACATCAATGCTTGTCTTTCATTTTTTTGTCGTCTTTTGGAGGGATCGACACAAACTACAAGATCCTCTGAACCTGTACAACATCAACTCGGAATTTCTCAGCAATCTGGCATGCATCCATGGGCCCATCATGGTCATCAGCTTTGCCTTGATGCAGGAGAAGGATCTGTCGGAGCTGAGCCACATTCAGTGTCCCCATAGGAAATGGCCTTTCCTCGTACCGACCAGTGTCCCCACTTTTCCTTGTGGACTACATCTGTATAAACTTTGTCACACTCATTTCTAAGAAAAAATTATGAGCATGATAATAAGCATGCAGTAATTAAGGTCAATTAAAGACCTTTGAACCATGTCCTTGCATTTACTATACATAATGATTCTGAGAGTTAACATTCCATGAGTCCCATTATGAAAATATGATGAGTTGAAACTTAAAAGTTGACCCTATCAATCATCATGCTCTTGGAGACCTATAAATTGTAAGTTGTAATCTGGTAAGTTTTTAGCTGTTATGGGTAAATCTGATGTGCCAGATAGTCAAGCCATCTTCATTTTTTGAATTAACAGACCCCCCCTAGGCTGGAAATAACATTTTTTTAGCATCTCTAGTACTATTGAGATGATGTCGAATGCACTTGAAGATTCACTAGCCAACTCAACATTTATTTCTAAGTCTAATTTCTATCTATTTCATTCAATGTTCAGTTCTTGGTTATTCTGTGTAGCCTTTCCCCAAACTAGCCAATAGCAGCTTATTGAATACATTGGACATCCAATAGATCAGTTGAATTTTCATAACCAGAGATTCTTCAACTTAATTTTTTATTACCACAATAAACATCTTCTAAAAAATTCACTTGTCAACTCTAAATCTAATTTTGAGTCTCATTTATATTTTCACAATCCATATTTAGTCCTTGGTTGTTCTGTACAGCATTCATTCCCCACATTAGCCAAAAGCAACTTATTGAATCTATTCAGAATCTAGTAGACTAGCTGGATTTTCACCTATAAAGATTCTTTGCATCTTGATTTTTATTGCAACAACAACACACTTTGAAAACCGTAACTTTAGTTTGGTTGACCTACCTCATTTAGGCCCAATTCATTTCACCACAAGATACACAAAATATTTCCAATCCAACAAATGTCACTTATGTTTCTACCTTCTACTCCTTTTACATAGAAAAAACTGCAGACTTATCTAAAATTCTTATCCTAGTGTCCCGATTAATAGGATCACAGTAGAGGATCATAGTGGAGTTAATAACATCAAAACCATAACTAGTGGAGCCATTTGGTGCTATTAATCTTCTTCTTGTGATTATCCACTAACAAAGTAACAAACCTTTGAAATGGTAAAATTTAGTTCTTCAACTAATTGCTTAGGTGTTTTTTTTTCTTTTTCCAACTAAGTTAGATATAACCACACCAACTTAGTAATTGATTGTTCTAGCTATTCTATGCAACTTAATATTATCGACATTTTCAAGGAATAATATCTGTATTCCTTAAAAATGTATTTGCATTTAAGGAGGAAAGTAGGTTTTCACTACCCTTGGATATGCAGATAATTATGTGTTTTAAAATATTTTCTTCAAGGAAGTTTCTCTTGTTTAATATGTGTGCTCCAAGGATGTTTACCCTCAGATATGCAGACATTGTAGTTTTGTGATTTTGAATACGAACAAAGTAGCTCATTGAAAGATAGAACATGCAACAATGTTTAATAACATATTGAAAGTAAATCAAAGAAAGCACAACAGGATGGGAGTTTGGAAAGAAGAAGAAATGAGGGGGATCAGTTAAAGATGAGGTAAATAGAAAATAAATTATATTTCTGAAAGCTAGGTAGAAAATAAATTATAGTTCTAAACTTTTATCTATGAATGCCATATGGGATTTGTTTGGGATGCATAATTTAATTTTTTCTTGAATCAACTTTGGTTAGTGTATTAATGTTCTTGTAAGTAAATGTAGATGCAGTGCNCATTTGCATATACACAGTTACTACACCCCCTTTTGAAGCTTCCCTAAGAGCTACTCTTGCCAGGCTCAGCACAAGTTTGTCACGTTCTAGATTTGGTTTTGATTTGTATTGATCGTTTAATCCTAAGATGGCTCTAACATTTCTTTAAATTCTAAAATGATTTCATTTTGAATGTTATTAGCATTCCTGAAATTAACCAATTTTAGATGATTAAATATGGCCATATTCTTAGTGGAAATTTAGAACGAAATCACATTATTCTAAATGGCTACCAGGTGTCCCCCTAACAAATTTGTGTACATGGTATGGGGTTTGTGTTTTTGCTATTGGGTGAGTTAAGAATTGTAATTGTGTGGAGTAGGTTCTAAAATTCAAAAGTGTAGGGGGGTTGTGTTTTTGTTTTGTAAGGTTGCTTCTGGGGGTGGCTTTTCTTTCTATTTGGGGTGACTTCTTATCACCCTTGTTTGTATTCCTTCTGTCTTTCTAATGAATTTTCTTTTTTTATTCATCTTTAAGAAAAAATAGCCTCTAATAGAGTATGTTAGAGTTGTGTTTCTAGTCAGGGTGGTTGTTGATGAGGTGGAGCATTGTTGTTAATGAGAGTTGCTTTCTTCCTGGTCAGTTTTGTGTAGGTTGTGAATGATTTGATTGTGTTGTTGGGTTTATCTTTTCTCTCAGGTGATTTCTTATCACCTTCCCTCTGTAATTTCTCTTTTTTATTTTCAATGAATTCTATTTTAGTATATAAAAAAAACAGATGTAGAGGACCTGGTATATAAGGGCATGGGATCAACTTCAGTGTCAGGCAAATTTTAAACATGGTAATTAAGTAAACCCTGTATATTAGTTATCAACTTTTAAATGATAACCAAAATTTGGCAGATTCTGAAAATTGCATGAAGTTTCTGAAATTATGGGATATAAGTAAACCCTGTATAGAAGTTTCTTCTCACGCACTCATTAGCTTCAAATTTTAGAAATTATGGGATACTCCTTTTTCATAATTTTATTCGAGTGGGACCCAATCAGCAACTTCAGACCTTCAGACAGTCAAATTTTCATAGTGGTTAGATCATTGAAAAATGAACACATACAATTGGGATTGAAAGGAAGGATATCTTCAATTGAGTAGGGGCTATATGGAGGAACTCAGATCAATTGTCTAGATGTTTTGCCAAGCTTGGTAAAATTCTCTTCTATTTCAAATTTCTACTGTGTTTCGGATATTGAATCATGTGAAAGCTTGCCTAGTTTGCAATTAAGAGAAGTTTCTTGTCCTCACGTTACTTACTATCAGTATCGATGAATTTAATGTTCTTTTTCTGTTTTGATTTCCTATGATCTTGTGCCTTGTGGTTGTTGCAGGTAAGGTCACTAGTGCTTGATGTGAAAGTCTGGGAGCCTTCAGTCATAACTTTGTTTCAATCACTAGGTAATACATATGCAAACTCGGTCTCGGAAGAGTTATTGCAATCAAGGAGTAATATTTTCCAGGTTGATGAATGCTCCATAGGATAAGTAGACATGAATTCATTATTTATAAGCCTTTTATGGCTATTTATATATTTTGTTGGAAGTCTGTAATTTAACTTGGTATTGCTGAACATCTTGGTGCAGTTGCTCCAAATATTAAACACCGGATCTTTGGATGGTGTGAGATATCCTTAAAATCGGTAATGATTAATGACTTAGTTTTGTTGAAGAAATGCAGAAATCTAGTAATTCTTGGAGATACAGTTGGATCTCACATCACTTGGGTTAATTCAATGGTAAGTGTATAATGCATATAAAACTCTTATATTAATTAATTTATATAGCTAATTATTGATATCAATCCTTAAGTATTTATTTTTTGTTGATTTGACAGACCAAAGATTATGATCCAAAGTGAATGTCTTGAGTGCGATGCACGTGTATATAAGCAAATGTTCAGATACAATGAGGATAATTTTGTCAATTCTCTTTTATTGTTTTCTTTTGTAATGAAAATACTTGTGTAAATGTGAATATTAAACAAAGACTACTATGGATATTTTGTGTAGATGTGTAAATGTTTTATTTGTAAAAACATCCATCACACAGATATAGATTTAGGTGAGAGTAAATGTTTTTTCTAAATTTGCAATTTTAACCATCCAATATTTGAATTAAAAATAACATGTTTTAGCAACGGTTTTATTGCACCGTTGCTAAATGTATCATTCAGTAGCGAACAATAGCAATGGTTCTTCGACATTCATTGGGGGGACTAACAATGGCCAAGTTGAGCTATTGGGATGATCCAACATCTAAATATAGTTGGTGATCTATCTCCCAAGGGAAGCTTAAGATATTGGATGGTGAGGATCCACTCTTACACCTAAGAGTGTCAACCAACTCCTACAAGTTATACACCTACCCCACTACCATGATTTCACTTTTTTTTGAAAATTAACTCTTAATCCTAATACCATCTCAAACCCTTTTAAGAACTTCCATTTACACTTGTTCTTTAGAGTTGTCATAGAGAAACAAAGTACCATCTGCACTTTGCAGTGTAAAGATACCTCCCCGATTTTGCACGTTGCACTCAATTTTCTTGCATTTTTAGATAGATAGCAAATATATGATGAACATATAATTTATCTATAATTTATGAGGTCTTTGCATGGATTATTATGCCGGTTTTATTTAATTTTGCCCTAATTTAGCTTAATACTAAGAAAAGATTTCAGGAGTAATTAATCAAAGAAAAAAAAGGCAAAAGGTAAGAAAAGAAGGTCCAAAAAGACCAAATTCAGCCCAGTCCGGTTATGGAAGCAAGAGAGCACACTTCGGCCCAAAAAGTACAAGTTGATTCCTTGAGAAAACCCAAGAAAAGAAAGCCTAGCAAAGAGTAAAATTCGGCCCAATAGAGAAGGCTCATTTACAGCCCAAATAGCAGCCCAAAGAGCTAGGGGCGGCAACCCTTAGAATGCTTTCAAGAGAGAACTCTAGAAAGTTCAAGAAGGGGGTGTAATACACCCCATTCTAGAGGCTTCAAGAAGGGGCAAGAGCCCCCTTGAAAATCTATATAAGGAGACTTCTAGAGGGGGGAGAGGTGTTCAATTGTTTGAGACAAAGGCTCTCCCACTCCTAGAGGTTCAAACACCTTGAAGAGAAGAAAAGAGAAGAAGGGCTAGGTGCAAGGAGGAGAAGAAGAAGGGCTGAAGGAGTTCAAGTCAAGTTAGCAAGAAGAGAATGTGAGTTCGAAATTGGGGGTTTTTGATTCAAAAATCTATTGTAATAATTCCATTCTAGTTTCATTTTCCTTTGATTCGAATTTAGCTTCCTTGTTGTAATTTTTTCTTTCTCCTTTCTTCCATTCTTTTTTTATGTAAGTAAGTTTGTAAAATTTCAGATCAGCAATCAATTTCTTTTTTATTTATTCGAATGGGTGTGAATTGTTCTTGAAGTTTCTTGAATAAGGGTTAATCGTAGATCAATTCAGCCAATTAAACTTTCAAAACTCAAATCTGAATTCTCATATCTGATATTGCAAGATCTGAATTGCCTGAAAGAGAATTCAGATATGCAATTTTTCAGATTGGCTGAATAGATCTAAGCTTGGAATTCTTAGAGTGCTTGGGAAAGACTCCAGGAATTCAGATCTACTATTCAAGAATTGAATTGGATGCAAGATTAGAGATAACTTGCACAATTCAGTTGGTGATCAATTCAGATTTGAATTGATGCCTTAGAAGTGTTTGAAGAAATGCATGTATGGGGATTAGATTCTTGCTAGAGATAGAAGAACTGTCATTCATGCATAGGATGAACATGCGCTTGAGGGAGATTGTTCATGACCTTGGGGTTTTACCAAATCAAGGCTCAATCATGATCTATTCGAATGGTTCAATTTGATTGATTGCTGAATTCTGAGATTAATATTAACTACTTACTCTTCTAACCTGAATTGAAGGCAATTGAGCCAATAATTTAGATAAATTTTAGTTTAAGATTTTTAGCTTTTGAATAAAGTTTTGATTTATTATTGATCAAATAAGAAGTGCTCAATTTAGTATTGGTAATTGTTTCCTAAATCCTCGTGGGAACGATACTTTATTACTTAAACGGCTAGTGCACTTGCTAGTGTCACAATGAACCACATCAATATATATATACTTAAAATAAAACTTTTGGAATCAATAAAATCCTAATATGTGTATGTGTGTGAAAAATAAACACATGCTTAGACCAAAGGCCAAACAAGAACTTCTCTTGAGAACTTGAGAAAATGTTAGAATTATCTATCATTCTCACTTTGTGGACAACCAAAGAAATGCAATTATTTGTGACTAAATATTCATCTTAGACATCACCTCACTTAAGTCCAATAAAGTGCAATGATGCAAATGTTTTTTCAATAAATTCCATCTATTGGCACCTCTCTTCGGTCAGTCCCACTCATTTTTTCTAGCACATGTTGTTTCTAATGTGGACTACATTTGGGGATATATCTTACTAGGGACAAATTAATCCTTAAAGGTTGGATATCCTTAACACAAGCTATGTTTGTGCTCTTGTCCTCTCAAATCAGCATATTATTTATTCCTACATTGCTAGGTTAGTTACAAGATTTGGGTATTCTTCCTTCAAAAACTCATGTCTATTGGGTGCTTCTCAATGATGCTTCAAGATGCAATAGCTTCTTGGTCCATCAAAGGCCTTAAGAAAAGTGGGAACTTGCATGGCATGCTATTCCTTCTGTGATTATTTATGAGCCTAGGGAAGGAACGGAATATGAGGATATTCAATAACAAATTTGTTCAAAAGGATTAATTGCTAAGAAGGGTTGTTGCTTTGATATTCTCTTGGACTTCTATACTAAAGCCTCCCAGAGATCTTTTTTCCCCTCTTCCTCGTGCTTGAGGGATTTGTCTTTTGCTTAGATGAATATCCAACATCCTTTTTGGCAACTCCTGTGTATAGTTCACTATACTTGGGGCTTATCCAATGTATTTTTTATCTCTTCTATTAATAAATGCATTTATTTTTTCTAAAAAAAGTTCAATTAAGTGTATTTGAAATAAAAAACATGTTTACCAAATATTTGCATATATCTGAATGCTTCAACTGCTACACAAAGTGTTTGAGAAAAATTATAGAATTTAACAAGGTTTGATAATTTAATTTTCATGTAAGAAATTTTTTTCTACATTTTTTTTTCAAGAATACAAAATGTTTTGAAAAGTTAACAAAATGCAAGCCAGGGTTAACATTTTCCTGTAAGATGATTGGGTGCACAAGTTCTCCATTAAATTTTACCCGATTCAATATATGCACCACTTTCTAATATTTCAAAAGACTTAAATTAGGAAGTAGTTTGGTCAGGATCCACTGCCAATTGGATCCATGGCATATGGAGGAGAATGGCTTAGATATGCTTTGGGTTTGGGGATGGATCATGGATTGGAGATATTGAAATACCAACACACAAAATGGTGCTTCAAGTATGTTCATTTTAGGAATTTTCTTCTGGTTGTACTTCAATACTAGTTTAGATTTTTGATATGAATTATCAAGGAATCTTTTCTTCTTGCTATTGTATAAAAAAAAATATCATGATTTTATGTGAAGTTGTGATTGAATTTTTTTTCCATTCCTCTCCTTGGTAGGAGGTTTTGATGATATAGTTTCGTTTTTGGGTCTTCCCAACCTAAGTTCAATGTTTTATATTAATTTTGGTTATAATGGTTGGATGAACCATTGTTTTGGGTATGCATGAATTGTATACTAATCATGTTAATTCATTTATATTGTAGGACTGATTATTATTTACATGGCAACCTTTGGACATATACAACATATGGGAATATGGTCATGCACAATTGAACAATCAAGAGAGAACCATACAATGTATTTCAGATATGGAGAGTTGGTGATTGGTTAGATATTGATGGAGAGTGATTTGGCCCGATCTCGTAGCATGGGGATACGTGGACATGACTTGGCATAAGTGACAACTCAACGTGACAAACTGGCCATAACTCGGCGTAACGAACTCATCGGAGCTTGGCCGGACAGCTCGGTGGACGAGGCAACTCGCCGGGAAATAACATCCAGTTCACCCCGAATTCTCTCCAAGGGTGGAGCGAACTGAGCTCCCCCCTCAGCGAGGGGACCCAAGCTCCTCCCATTGAGCCCCGAGCTCTTCCTAAGAAGGAAACACCCCGACCTACGACTAAGTATCCCAAAGTGGAAACACTTCGGGTCAGCACCATTAACACTCCTATCCATACTTGCCTAAGGCCTGCCTCAAGCATAAGCACCTCGGCGCACCCCCAGCACCTCGGTGTAGGGTAGCTCGGCCCAAGGTAGCTCGGTGCAAAGTAGCTCGGCAACCTGTAGGAAAGATCTGCCTGACAACAGTACCTGCCGAATCTAGAGGCTACGCCCACGTCCCTCGTCAGGCAGCATCGTGCCTACCATTTTTGAAAGATGTGGCACGCCTGACAGGTCCCTACCCTGCAACGGCTGCCTGCACCTGCCACCTCAACTCTGGCAGTAACGGCTGCGGCGGAGGCGGTTACGCCTGACTTGACAGAGGCGGTTACTTCTAAAAGGACCCCGTTCCCCAAGGAGCAAAGGTACAAAACTTGTGCCATCTGCACTCTTAGCTCTCTCTTTGCATTCTCTACAGTTCTTTCAAAATTCTAACTTAAGCATCGGAGTGTTCCCGCCGGGTGAGCTCCCCGAGAATTCTTCACCTCCCTCTTCTTCTCAGGTACTGTCTGTCGCCAGATAGGAGCTAGGTTTTCGCCAGCTAGGAGTGTCCAGATCGCGCTGCATCATTTGACGCCGTCTGTGGGAAGCGCTTCAAAAAGCCTTTCTCCAATCTCTGCAACTCTCGGAACTCAGCATCCATGGCTTTCTCCAGCAATGCCGAACGAGGTGCCGACCAAAACGCCTCTAAGGAGCGACCTCATCTTCCCACTGTCTGCATTGGACAGTTCACCATCCCCCTCTCTGCGGACGGAGTTCCCAGCTTGAATGTGCCTCAGACAATGGCAC